TGACACGAAGTATTTGCTAGTCTAGTACTGGAGAAATAAGCGTTTGGGTGCGCATTGTGCGGCTTTAAGGCGCAGAACCCGTCAAGCTATGTTACTGTAGCAGCGTGTGTCTCCCGCTATGTGCACGGTGCTGCTGCACATACGGTGACGTCAGTGTCATTGATGACATCGTGTCATGTGAAGACGCGACGGTGCGATGATGTTTAGCTGTTTATTGGAAAAGCGAGGCGTACACACATCTCTTACAGTACACTGTCACTGGACAGGAATCCCTCTGCGTGTAACCACGAGCTCCTTCTCAACACTCAACCTCGTTCCTTTTCTGTGTTCTAGCAGCTGCTGAGTGCTTGGTGCTGAACGCGTCTGTCAGCCCGCTTTGCCTATTACAGGGATATCTGCAGCATCCCCACGCAACTCACCATACTTCCCATTTGGCGGTTACGTTGGCTAGAGACTGGTCGCTGGGTTGGGCAGCCGGGAATGCCAAACAGATTGTGCTCAGCTGGTCTATGTTTGGCTATTCCATGACCCACTGCGCTGCAACACTTATCCATGAGGCTAATTTCGGGGTTTCAGTGCCGGCCAGTGTTGCTTCAATTGTCTAGCATGAGCTGGGTTATATTGGTCAATACTGTCCTTGACGTCAGGAAATTAGTGTGCGCAAATTTTGTTTGTAACTCACTGATTCGTCACCACATGTGACGAGGAGATTCGTTACTACACACCGTGTGATTCGTCAGACAGATAAAATCGTTGTGTGATTTTGCACGATGTCATACAAGGGGCTCTCCCTTTTGCGAACAGCTTATCGTACTTTGAACGGTTGCTTGTGACGATGTAGAGTACAGGTAGCGAAAAGTAAAACGTCACGTTTCGTGAAACGTGAAGCTACAACGCCACTCTGCATCACACAGACGTGCGCACGGTAATATTATCATCTCGTAATGTGGTGCTATCCCCCACCACGCATGTAAAGGTTTAATGATATAAATGAAGCCGTCTTGGGCGCGTTGAACTGACGTTGAATAGCGATACAGACACCCTGTCAGTCCCAGCAGCTACGGAGACGAAGAGTTGTGTTCGACACCTACGCGCAGGTCAGACAAGGATATGGTCAAGAGCTAATAATAGTTAGGTACCGTATTATTAGCTTTTGATATGGTGTTGGTGTGTCGCGTTGTGTTGGTGCGTGTGTAGCGGGACTCTTGGTATAGTAGAGGGCAGCGGTGTTGCAGTGAGCGCCAGTTTGGAAGAGGTGCTGATCTATCAGTGGGTGCTGCATGGGCACCGGCGTAGCAGAGGTGCCAGTGTAACAGGGTTGCTAGTGTATCAGGTAGTGCCATCGTCGTATACGTACATCGTAGGCTTCGTAGCACGGTACAACGGTACGGCAGGGGCAGCAGGGACCGGGGATTATATAGCAGGGAGCAGTAGCTTATTATTGGCTTATTGTAATACCGCAGAAATACATAGTAAGAAATACACACTATTATGCTATTGTTCTATTTTGGGGTACATGCCCAGCTGTGTAAGGTCGTCACCATGGACTAGCCAGTAGTAGAGGCAACCAATTGCAGGTAGTCGCGTATAGCGGGTTGACGATAAACAATAGGTATAGGCGGGTCTCCAGTTCGGGTATAAAATCTCTTGCTTGGCGAGAGAGAAAGACAGACAGAGAGCTCGCAAAACATAGACAGAATACGATACATATAATAATATACTGCACATTCGCTAGATAACCGGACATCACAGCATTAGCCTCGTAAGTTATGACGTGTCTCGCGTAACCCTGCATGGTGTACGCGATTGCTCTGCTATGGGATTATACATAGTTAAGAGGTAACGATTAAAGAGAATAACTAGAATACGTATACCACTGCTGTTGTGTTCTTTTCACTATATGCCTAATGCAAAGGGTGTTAGATATACACCCACGCGTAACCACTAATGCGATCACGGTACGTAAGCATGCAGCTTCGCTACATTATCTTGTCATAGTTCTAGAGCTAATCTTGTCACTGCATGATGCTGCGGTAGCGAGACCGTATGCTGCGACCGATTACCGGCCGGCGAGCCACATAGTAGAGCGCGAGAAACATCAGCACCCGTAGTGTCACCGACAAGAGTAGTTGTTCCGTGTACATAACGGATGAGTTTGCGCATGCAGTTTGAAAGCTATCCCCGGTCGTTTAAATTGCGCGTAAAACCGCTGTAAGCGAGAATTGATCAAAAGCGCGCGCGCGCGTGCGGCGTCCGCCTTAATTAATCGGCCTGGAAGAGCTTTGTTGTCAGTCGGCGCGGGGAAAATGTGCGCGAAATAAAACATTTTACGGCGGGCTCTAAAAACCGAGGGGCCAAATATATCGCGCGCTATTGTGTAATTGGCAGTAATGGGAGTTGGGGTGAGGGGTGTGGATGTCTGATGATGGCGACGGAACTGGTGATATCTGCCGAATTGCGAGGATTTCTCTTATTATCGTGATTTGAAGTATTAAAAGAATTCCGATACGATGCGGCCTAGTTTGAGTCCACTCACTAAGTGGACTATATAACTACATAAGACCGTATATAACTACAAAATATATATATATATATAGAGATATATAGATACTCACTATATAAGACTATAGCCATTCGAGTTAGTTCTGCCCATAGCGAGGAGAGTGAATATGCAACCAAAATATGCACTAAGATTCGGACACGTCGTAACAGTTGCATTTTTAGCTCACCTAGACATCGTCAAGATGAGCTATTGCCATGGGTCGTCGTCCGTCGTACGCGTCCGTTCGTCCTTCCGTCAACATTTGGCTACGGTCAACGATAACTCAGGAACCGTTTGACCCACATGTTTGAAATTGGGTATAGTTGTTACTGCTATGCGAGAGGTTTGAACGTCCTATTTTGGAGCACGCCAGTCGGCGTACTTTCGAGCCACGGCAATTTTTTGGCAAAAATGGAAATTGCCATTAGTCATGCAGTTCAGGTTCAACGGATTTTGCTCATTTTTGGTATGTGAATGAATAAGGGCTGGCCCCAAAACGTATATTACAGGGGTTTTGATATTTAAAAAAAAAATTCTGCAAATTAGGTAGGCTTTGGCAATTATATAGCACATTATATAGACACGCAGATAACAGTCTGTGGTGTCACACTCGTCTGGTTCGTTTTACAAGATCTCATTGACAATATCTTAAATGCAAAATTGGTATTTCCTCTTCACCCTGCCGATAAAACGTCTATATTAGAGTAAAGTTTTACAAAACATGTCAGAATGCAGCATAACCTATTTATTTCGAACGCCATTGCTAAGAAACATCAAAGCTGGTATAGCGCCATCTACCGTCACAAATTGTGATTCATTTTGGTTTATAAATTATTATTGCGATATACAGATGGCAACCGTGTGCTACCGCCTAGAAAGACCCATACGAAGTAAACACTTCCATGCAACCAATTAACCTTTGACAAAAGTGTTATGGGCAGGGAAACGCCATTGTCACGTGGTATATAGCAGCTACGTGGAATAAGCGTATCCTCGCAATCTTACACGTTACACATCGGGAGCTCCGCTTTTAGGCAGTGCCTAAATCTGAATATTATAAAAACGTTAAATGGCGATCATTTAGGTGTAACGCCATCACTCGCCCCCATCTCAGACTTTCACATCTCAAACATTTATTTTCACATAAAAAATTACACATAATTATCAAGAGTATATAATGGGAGTTCTCCCATATATAAATATACTCTTCGTTTCTATAATGTACGTCGATGGTTGCATGCTCAATTAAAACTGACTTCTTCTCACTCACTCATTTGTGTCCTTTTTTGTGGTGAGCTACAGTGTCTTTTTTTTCTAGCCAAATGTCCCATTCAGCGGTATTAAATCGTTCGTATTAAATCCTAAATCGTCGTTTTCTCTCTCTCTCTCTTGCAGTTCGCCTTCACGACAGTATAGCCGAGGAAGGATACCATTATCTAGTCTTTGATCTGTAAGTATATCTGTGCAACAATTTTCATTCTCGACGTTCGAGAGCCGTTCTTAGCCGTTGCAATCGAATCATTTACGGCTGTCGCTGGGGGGGGGGAGGCCGGGGGAAGCGGAGTTGGTCATGTTACGGCCGCATATATACCAAGAGCTCATAATATAGAGAAGAGTATGACACCGTTTTAACAGCGTTTTGCATAGTTTTCAACTTGTAAATATTCTATCAATATGTGAATTGAAAATGTCAATATTCAAACTTTACCTTGTTTTCGTCTATGATTCTCCCTTAATCATATATGACACCACCAATTTACCTGAAAATCGTATGTGTTCTTCAAAAAAGTTCTCTGAATACGACACGGTTTCACACAGACAGTTTTCCCAAATGTTCGCATGTATTCGGCGCATGTTGATATACGGCGGCAGGCTGCAACTACGGGACGCTGGGGGCTGTTGGGGATAATAGGTATAAGCACAGTATAACAGCACTTGTTTCGCTTCCTTATCATCAGGAACACGATGGCAACACAGCTAAAATCAGCTGCTAGCTCGCCGTGAGCAGACATTTATTTCTAGCACGCTGGAAACGCTACACGCTGAATACAATTCTATGCCTAATATCCCCAACAGCCCCCAGCGTTCCGTCATAGACAATAGAACACTAATCCGATAATAAACTTGCGCCGAATACATGCGAACATTTGGGAAAACCGTGTCGTATTCAAAGAACTTTTTTGAAGAACACATACGATTTTCAGGTAAATTGGTGGTGTCATATGATTAAGGGAGAACCATAGACGAAAACAAGGTAAAGTTATTAAACATATTGATAGAATATTAAGTTGAAAACTATGCAAAACGCTGTTAAAACGGTGTCATATACTTTTCTCTATAATATGAGCTCTTGATATATACCCTAGCGCAGGCAAGTGGCAGTGATTTCCTCACTTGTGCCATTCATACTCGCGCACACATATGCTGGCCTCGTGGCCAACCATTGCTTGCCTAGCGTGGTCGCTATCCCGTATACGTTGTCGCTGTATGGCCTGGATAGCGTTTAGGGTGTGATAGGCATTTACAAATGTTCCTAGAATTGTTCGACATTCAGCGCACATTGACGAACATTCGACGAAAAATGTTCGAGATATCAAACATTTCCGATCTTCAGAAACATTGTTCGGAACAAATGTTCGGCGACTTTTTTCACCGCACATTGCCGAACATTTCATGGAACATTGCTACGATAATGTTTTTGAGCAAAATGTTCGGCAATGTGCGCCGGGCTTTAGCTAGCCAGTTTTCGCCATGTAGTTAGCTTTTCGTTAACGCATCGCCGTCGTGTTCGTCAATATATCGAGATAGCGGTCGGCTGCTTTGCACTCTACGAGTATTGCGCCGTAATTTCGTTTTGCGGCTCGGGCAACCAGGTTAGACCACGCGATCAGGGCAGCTAGGGAGTGCGCGATGCAATTTGCATTCGGTCTATCGTGATGACGTATGTGCGTGCGTGCGTGCGTGCGTGCGTGCGTGTGCACGTGTGTGTACGGGGTCAGGTCACGCGCGCACACACGCACGCACGCACGCACGCGAACTGCGGCGCACGCCGCGTGCGTGCGTGGTGGCGTTGCTGAGTGGGTAGTGTTTAGGTGAGTGAGTGAGGTGAGGTGAGGTAATGTGAGCGAGTGAGGTGAGGTGAGGTGAGGTGGGGTGGGTGATATGAGGTGAGGTGAGGTGATGAGTGAGTGAGTGAGTGAGTGAGTTCGTGAGTGAGTTATTAGTGTGCATCTGTCTCAGCCTCAGCTCAGCCGCGCACTAAAAATAGCATCGACGATTCGTGCGTGTGCGTACGTACGTACGTGCGTGCGCGCGCGTGTTTGCGCGTCAGTGCTGGGGGCATCACACTTGTCGCGCACCCGTCTCGCACCCGGGCGCTCTCTGCATCAATCCATACACCTACCTGACTGTACCCGGGTCCGTTACAATCACTCTCGCGGCAGTCGGTCATTAACTATTGACCAGAGCGAAATAATTGTTCATCCGATGATGTATTGTAAACACGCTAGCGGAACGCGGTAAGACGATAATGCGTGCGTGCGTGCGTGCGTGCGTGCGTGCGTGCGTGCGTGCGTGCGTGCGTGCATGCGTGCGTGCATGCTTGCTGATCAACCTGGAATGGGAGAAGATAGGCACGACAGAGAGAACGAGAGAAGGGGGGTGGGGGGCAAAGGGACCCGTGTAAAATTCCGATAAACAAATCGCTGATTAAGATCACCATCAGCAGCTCGGTGAAGAGCGTTGGCATGATCGGCAGGTGAGTAGTACAGATCACGGCGAGTGGCTGAAGTCTAATTATTTATTTTCCTGTTAATTACTTGGACACTACGCGTCATAAGTGATTAGTGGTTTTCAGCGAGAAGCCGGCGGATCATGTGGCTCACGCGTGGCTATAGTATAGAACCGGCGTCTCTCATCGCACGCAGTCTGAACGAGTTCGCACTGCTGTCTCACCACTGCCTCTGAAATGTGCGCAACTGCTGCTAACTAGATTCTCTTCGTATATCCAGCAGGCCGTATATAGTGAATAGGAAAATAAAATACGTAGTTAGTCTGAACGGGCTATGAAATGGAGACAATGGAAACTTACTGCTGCTTACCGTCGTGCAGGCTATATACCTTGTCAATAAAAGATGGCGTTCCTGGCAGACGGTCCGGCCAAATCCAATTATTTGTCACGCGGGGATTAAAAGGGAAGGGATTCGATACTGATTACCGTTCATCACGGCCGCCCAGGCGGGGCCGCTTTCGAGCTGATCTCATTTTATTAATTGCGTACAGATTCGTGAACGCCCGTGGTAATGTTATTAATTAAGACTAGCTCGTTGGTGCACTTGACTCCCCTCAGCGTCCACCTGGTCTCTCTCTCTCTCTCTCTCTCTCTCTCTCTCTCTCTCTCTCTCAGCATCTGCCTTAATTTACTGTGAGTTAGGTTGGGAGATACATTTTTGTTGTTATTATGTATGCATTTGTGTCTATGTGCATATGTGCATCTTGAACACCTTCTCTCTTTCTCTCTCTCTTTTTTTTTTCTTGCTCTCTTTTTCTCTCTCTCTCTCTCTCTGTCTCTCTCTCTCTCTCTCTCTCTCTCTCTCTCTCTCTCTCTCTCTCTTGCTCTCTTTTTTTCTCTTGCTCTCTTTTTCTCTCTC